TCTTTACTTCAGAGGTGCATCCCCTGCTCACTTGCGCAGCTCGTGTGGAGCCGCTGCGCCCTCAAACTCCCAACGCGGGGAATTCAATGGCTTCGGGGGATCAGATGGGCTTTCGCTTTTCGGTTCTGGGTATGGTTGCTTACTTTGGAATCGGGTTTAGGCTGCAGGCTGAGATGTTTCGAGTTCAAAATCTGTGGCTAGCATTGAAAGTTTCGAGAACATAGGGTCCTGGATCTAGACGATGGTCAAATAGTGATGCAGCTGCGGTACTATCGATTTCGAAGAAAATACAATGAAAATGCTGTACACCGGTAAACAAGGATTAGGATAAGATGCATCGTAGGAACAGCATCATCGCAGTACAGCACCTCAAGTAGGCACAAACGCCACCCGAGTTCTCCGTGGCGGAAAGGTTCAAAGGCTTCAGGTTTGGGGTTGTGGTTCGCGCTTGGGGTTGAAGAACCGCCGAAACGCTTTAGGCGGTTGTGACCCTCTCTCTCAGTATGTGGTTCTCGGTGCTAAAGGGTAGACTGAACCCGCTTGGGAAACCCTGGCTCCGTCTCGCCAAGGCAGTTGTCACAGCTAGTTATTAGTTCGATTGTGGGTACGAAATCTTTAGCTGGTAGCGTTCTTGTTGCCATGACTAGAATGGCTATGGTCTGCTTGTTGAATCTGCTCTTCCCAGTGCCGTTTGTTGCCGTTGATAGCTTCATTGGCTTTGTTGTTGTCAACATATCAGGTGAGGGTGCGTGGGTTTACCAGGGCAGCCAGGACGTCAAGGTTCCAAGGTGTACAAGACATGGCCCAGTTTACTCTATCAAAAAGTTATAGCGCGCGGCCGTCTATTTTGGCCGCTTTTGTGACAACTCATAATAGGTTGTAACATATTTTTTATTCTATTTCAATGTAGCATGGTTTACTATCTCTATAGCCTTGTCTCCCGCAAAGCCCCAAGAGCCGAACACGGGAAGGAAAGGACCTACTCCGCAAACTGCCCAAAATTCAAACTCCACCAAAACCTAAAGGCGCAAAACCTCCAAGTCACGAAGGAAACATCCAATGGTTCACACCCGAAAGCTGAAAAGCCCTGAAACCTGACCCCTAAACCCTACTTGCAAAACTCTACATACCCTAAATCCCCAACCCTAAACACCCTAGATCCCTTATACACCTAAAAACCGTATGATAATTCTAATCGTAGCCTTTACCCATCCCTTAGCGGAAGCCTTAAAGGAATCCTCAAAGGAACCCTTGCAGGTTCCGTTAAAGGATCCCTTAAAGGACCCCTTAAAGGAATCCTTACAGGATGCCTTAAAGGAGCCCTTAAACCAATGGGGGAATGGATCCCTAGTGCCCCTTAAGGTTTCTTATAGTAGTCCTTATAACCCATTCCCATCCCATTCCCCCTAAACCCCAAGCCCTAAACCCAAAACCCTGAACCCCATTCCCTACCAAGAACCAGAGAGTCGCGAGGCATGGCGCCGCACCCGGACTTTTGGGAACCAAGCGGAGGTCCTACGTGGTGCCCAAGAGCGCCTCCTGCTGCATTTTTGGTTCTTTTGGGGCCTTGCGCCCTGATTGAGGTTTGAAGGTGCTGTGCTTGTGGTGTGTTTTATTCTTCAGGTTTGGCTTTAGGTTTAGGTTGTTCAGAAGGTTACAGGTTTCTGCATTTCTCGCAATTTGACCGCTAGATCCTTTCATATTCTTCCCGTAGTCCATGCCTCAAGTACTACGTACTGCGCTGAAGTAAGCAATTAGCAGTTGAAGTATGTGCTCAAAAGCTTGTTTTGGCTCTCGATCGTTGTTATTATCTTTGAGTGTTGTTGTGACAGAATGATACTAGACTACAAGCCAAAAACAAGCCTCTGGCCATTAATTGTAGACGTCGTCGACCCAATATATGCCACTATATAGAAAACTGCATCTATGCTAGAAGTATTCTCAAGACGTTCATTGGCTGTTACGGTAATTTCTCCTCTTGTTGAGTCGCTGCTACGCATGGTTTCTCCTTATCATCCTGCTTTAATTGCAGACGCTCCATTGCAAATTTCCTCGAAGAAAGGAGCGGGCTTGTTGTGTCCTCCGGCTTTGCCAAGGAGTCGCAGCACCCCGAGACAGAGATGCCGAGGCACACGGCACAGTACGCGGTTCAGTTTGCTGTTTGGGTTATGATGACATCCGTCCCGGGTAGCGGCTCCAGGATGATACGGTTGATGATATAAATCCTGCATTACTTATAATCGAGAATATACCATAATTCCCATACTTTAGGGTCCTTAACGATGATGATGCTGTCTGTGGTGGGTCTGATCGCTGTGGTCTTGGTGTTGGTGCTTTTGGATAGGGCGGATTCTCCAAAGGGTCTCAACTTCGGATCCCATTTAGAAGGTCCCAAATCGACGCCCACTTTGGAGAGTCTTCTAGATCTGTAGTTGCCAGTAGTGACTCTGGCCAAGGATCGTGTTGAGAGATGGAGCGGACAATCAAATTTGGCCAGGCTGGCGTTTTCTACTATATCTATATATATATATATATGTGTGTGTATATATATATATATATATTTTGTATTTATATTTATTTTTATACATACATAGAGAGAGAGAGAGAGAGAGAGAGAGACACTATATAAAGAGACTATGTAGAGTGCATAATATATGTATTAGACTTTGTAGACTGTATAATACACCTATTCCGACTTTCAGCTCCAGCAGGAGAAGCAGCGTGCCACCTCCCAACGAGCTTCAGGTGGACCGGGAGGGCAGGGCGAACTGCACAGGGCTGCCAGATTTCGACGACGATTCCTATTGCAACTATCAGAGTGACAAATGAATCATAGTGAATACTGTAGCAGGTTAGCAGCCTTGATCGCCAGTCGTGATGTTTTGGGCACCCTTCTACAGTAACGTTCCTTTCTGAAAAGGTCAAAGCGCCAGACGACAAGCCAGCCGTGAGAGCACTGAGTTCGTTTCAGACAGCACGAGGCGCGAGAGGACGGAATTCGCTTCAGGCGTTGCTCACAAATTGCCTCCACAAGCGAGAGCTCGGAAGAGCCCGGATCCTGAGCCGAAAAGGCGTGCAAGTGTAGCGTAGAAAGCAGGGAGGAGGCAGGCTAAAACGGCCGCTCCTCAACGCATCCCACAAGGAACGGAAGGCGAAATTGCCTTCAGTGCCGGCAGAAGTCTCGCCGCCAAAGGCCTGCATCTCGTACCTTGCCGAGTAGCCTTGCATTGGTACATCAGCAAGATGATGTCCATTATTGTTGTTGCTGTCGATACTGCATGGATTACCATATCTGCGGATAGATATAGTGTTGCAAGTTGCAACTATTACTGTGTGATCATTATTGCATTTATTCTTGGTGCTACGTCACATTGCGCCATATTGCACCCATTCAGCTCCAAGCTCTGTGCCTGACACTCCATCAGGCGTTGGACTCCTTACGAGAAAGCAGGCCGCGCATGTGGCCGTGACAAGTCAGAGCTCCTTCACCCCCGAAGTCGATCCGCAGCGGACATGGGTGACGCATCCAGCAGCCACTCTTAACAACCCTACCCGAAACCCTACGGCCCTACGCCCTGGAGCAACAGTGCCTGGCGGCATCCGACAGTACCCCACCCCCTAAACTGTGAACCCTACGCCCCAAGAACCGAGGTAGATAAAGCCCAAACCCCGAAACCCTCGAACCCCTGCATCCTAAGCCCTGACGCCCTCCCCCCCGGAACCCTAGAACCCTACACCCCCGTGCAACACATGGATCCGATGCTTCTTCCCTCTTCTTTCTTCACCTCTAAGAGACGAGGCCGGGGCAAGCTGCATTTTGACATGCAGTCGTCGTGCCGAGCCCTAGCGTCCCTGAGTCCCAGCTGCTCGTACCCCGATAGTATCCTCATAGTACCTGCAGAGCAAGTACAAGAACATCTTTCGCGTGGGTTATGTCCGTCCGGAACTACTCAAGCCGAGGACAAACAATTCGCTTAATTATGTCCTAAAGCCCAAAGTTAAAAGCCTCTCCACCGAACACCGCGAAAGCCCAAACCTCAAGTGCGAGGCCATCCATGCAAGTGAGCTGCAGACGGCGGAGGCTCACTTTGCGGTGCTTGCGCCCATTTTCGGTTTGAAGGTTTGAAAGGTCTGAGGAAGTTGTGATGCCACGTGGGCCATGGTGTCTCTGAGTATTTATGCTTCAGATCCCGCCGCTGCTCCTCCTCGCCGTCCTGACGCTGCTTCTGCTATTGCCTACTGCTGCCCTTGCTTTTTTAGCAGATGTGTCGTAGCAGTAGTAGTAGTAGTAGTAGTAGTAGTAGTAGTAGTAGTAGTAGTAGTAGTAGTAGTAGTAGTAGTAGTAGTAGTAGTAGTAGTACCAGCAGGAGTAGTAGTGGTGGTGGTGGTGGTAGTAGTAGTAGTCGTCGTTGTCACAGTCATAGTCTTAGTCGTGGTCGTCGTCGCAGTTGTACTGGTGGTCGTCGTCGTCGTAGCCGCAGTCGCAGTGGCAGTCGCAGTCGTAGTCTTGGTGGTGGTGGTGGTGGTGGTGGTGGTGGTGGTGGTCGTGGTGATGGTCGTGGTGGTGGTGGTGGTGGTGGTGGTGGTGGTGTTGGTGGTGGTGTTGGTGGTGTTGGTGGTGTTGGTGGTGTTGGTGTTGGTGGTGGTGGTGGTAACCTGGTAGTAGTAGTAGTAGTAGTAGTAGTAGTAGTAGTAGTAGTAGTAGTAGTAGTAGTAGTAGTAGTAGTAGTAGAACAGTGTATTTGTTGATTGTAGTCGTCGTCGCTGTGGTGGTGGCGGGTAGTGGTAGTGGTAGTACTGACAGTCATAGTTCCCATAGTGACACCTATAGTTGTAATGATACTGCCGACAGCAACAACAGTAGCACTATTGGCAACAGAAATGAACCAACGTAAAGTACTGCCCGTAGAAACCGTAATTGTCGATTAGTCGTTTTTTAGTAGCAGTGCTCATTTCATAGAGGAGGAGGAGCAAGCCAGCAGTCGGCAGGCTTTGCTTCGATGGGCGCAGAGGTCCGTATCCAACATCGACGGCTTATGTGTGTGTGTGTGGGGTCTTTTGGGGGGTAAAGTTTTGCTGCGTCTAGGGTTGCGGGCTCAGGTAATGGTTTGTGGTCTTTGAGCTTACAGGTTTCTATGGGTTTGAGCTCTTTTCGGCTTCGCTGCTATTGTTGTATGTTCTTCCGGTCTGTTGGATGTTGGCTTTCTGGAGGCTCGGGGTTTTGGTTGAAGGCGGTTTCCGGTTGCTGGCTTTGTGTTTGAGGTTCAGGGTCTGGGGGGCCCCAATGCTTGCGCAGAGAGCGCAAATCTCCATGCCCTGCAATCTAATATAGGAGCCTAAATAATTACCAATACTATTTTGGGTGTTCCTTATTCTAAGCATGGTATAATGGGCCCCAAAACCCTATTGTAATTATCAAGGCCCCTATATTAACCTCCGAAAGCTCAGACCCCAAGCCCACGTCTTTGCTGGCAGGGGGAGTCTGCAGACGGCTCCACCGGTCAAAGCCAAGCCAGTGAGATGCCCAGACCTCCATCGGCTGATGCGGGTTACTATTCTAGGGGCTTAAATTTTTGCTCATACTATCTTTACAGCAAAATGGGCCCCAAAACCCCATTCTAATTATTACGGCCCCCGTATTGCGGGATTTTATAGGATACCGCGGGAGATATTTGGAGGACATGGGGCTCCGGGGCTTCCCGAGCCTAAACCAAAGAACGAAGCGCTACACCCTGAAACCTAAACCCATCCCCCATGCCCCTACTTGGAGGTTCATGGGTAGTTATAAGTGGGGTTATAAGTAGGGTAGCTATATATTTACAACCCATATTTGAGGACTTATAAACCCCACTTATAGCTACCCATGAACCTCCAAGTAAGGCACTTTTGGATCCCAAAGCTCCCTCCGAGCTGTGCTCCGGCATGTCTAAGGAATCCGTCTCTCATATCAGTCTTCTGAATTCCTGTAGCCGAAAAGACCTACCTTTTTGAGGTACTATATATAGAAACCATAATGCAGGTTCATCTTTCATATCAGTTCGAAGATGAACCCAAAGCAACCCAAGGGAATATTGACAACAGCTCTTAGGTCTTCCTTAAAACCCAATCAAACCCGGAACCCTTAAACTTTAAATTGTCCCTTTAAATTGTCCTTAAACCCTAAACCCTAACCCCTAAACCCTAAACCCCTAAACCCTAAACCCCTAAACCCTACACCCCTAAACCCTACACCGTTCGAAGTCTTGAAAGGTGAGGCGGAGCCGGACATGGCAGCTGGTTCCGCCGCAGCGGCGCCGGCAGCCGGGCTCTCAAAGTTTGGGGCTACGGGGGGGGGGGCCTCATGGGGCTTTTGGGTACCCTGCATATTAGGTGCCGTACTATATTCAGGACCCAATAAAAAGGGAGTCGGGAGAATATTCCTATAAAACCCTCAAAAAAAGAGCCTTGTTTCTACTGCTGAAGGCCCTGTATCCCCGGAAAGGATGTTATGTGACATTATGGGATGCTACAGGATATTTCGTGGGTTTATCGGATACTATGGGACATATTGGACATGAGAGGATGGCATTACGGCATACTATTTGACGTTAGAGGAATGAATGGGAGAGTAACGGATGTTGATTAAGGTATCGGATACTGTAGGACAGCACGGGGTAGCAGGGGGTATTCTCGGATGCTTCAGGAAGTGTGCGGAAATTTTAGGATGTGTAGGATGCGAGTGTTTCTGTATCTATCTATCTATCTATATATATATATATATCTAACATGTATGTTTGACGAGCCTTGGGACGGTTTGGGCTTCCTACAAGTTTAGGGCTGAAAGATCTGGGCTAATGGAATCGAATCTTCGCGATTGGGCAGCGCTTGGGGTGCAGAGTCCCCAAAGCCCTGGACGCGCGGCTTCGCCTAAACCCTAAACCCCTAAACCCTAAACCTGCGGAAGGTTCCTCGGCCGAGCCTGTCGCAAGCCTCCCAAGAGCAGCCAGAAGCCGCCGAAGAAGAGGCCGGTGTATAAGGGGTTCAGGTCAGGGTTCCTTTAAGGGACCTATGAGGGCATTACAGGGTCTAAAGGGGTTCAGGGTTCCTTTATTTAAGGGACCTGTGAGGGTACTATAGGGTTTAGGGGTTTTGGGGGTTTTGGTGGCTGCGGGTTTGGGTTCAGGGTGGAGGGTTGAGGGTTCAAGGGTCATAAGGGTTCCTTTAAGCGATTCTTTCAGGGCTACTGTACGGGGTCACTGTAAGGGCTCGTTCAAGTGTTCCTCCTCTATAAGACTAGAAGGGTTGCTATAAAAGGTCACTTGAAGGGTTCCTCAAGGCTGCTGTAAGGATTTAGGCGGTTTAGGGTTACAAGGGCTGTACGGATTGCTATGAGGGTTAGGGTTTCCTTGGTTACTGTAAGGGTTAGAATATTTGAAGGATTATTTTGTTGAGGCCTCTCAAGGCTTTATAAAGAGTAAAAAGTTGTGGGTTCAGGGTCTAGGGTTAGGGAACACCTCAGGGGCTGCGTATTTCGCGAGGTGATGTATTCGAGTTGTACAGCGTTTTCAGGGCTTTATACTTTTCTTGCGCGGTTTAACAAGAGTTCTACGTGGTCTTGTTAGGGTTTCTTAGAAGTACTTGGCGAAGGTCATTTAGCTTCCAGTAGCAGCACAAGTCGTCGTAGTGTAGTACACGCATTCAGTCTTATATATGTCTGACAGAGCAGCTAGGTTTTAAGTTCTAGCTCAAGAGTATCTGACGGCAGCGGCAATGGGCAGGGAACAGCAGTACCTGTCGGGCTCGGATTGCTATCAGTCAAAACCCAAAAGCAGGAGTTCTCGCAAACGAAAGAGTGCCACTAATGCACCGGATCCGTGCAACACCCATCATTCCGGCCAACATCTTCGTAATTGTTTTCATGGTCAACATCAACTATCACCATGATGTTCATCATAATCATCAACCTCGCTCTCGTCCTGCACTCCATCATCCCCATCCCTAGCTCATGAACATCATTAACCTCATCAGTGCCATTGACCCCACCACCACGGCCGCCGCCGCCACCATATCTTTATCACTCTCATTGTAGTATTCGTCACAAGCCACCTTGTCTTGGCCAAGCAGGTAGCCAGACAAAAGAGTCAACCAGCCACCATTGCCCAGCGTGAGCCTTGCAACTGGAACCAAAGCTCTAAGCGGTTGCAGGTGCCCCGGAACCCAAACGGAGACCCTCTGGTGGCAGCCTCGGACCGCTTTGTGGTGATAATCCTGGTGACGATGATAGTGATGTTGCTATCGACGGTTGCCTTCCTTCGGTCTCGGCAGAAGCCCTGAAGACTCGCCCGAAACTGGTTTTAAAGCCTCGCCACCGAGATGTATGCAGCTGCCAGCTCGACCCCGGTACTACGAGACTGTCGCGGGCTTACGCTTTCTCAATATGGTTTCACTTCCCCCTTGATGCAGCTAGAGTGCTTCTGGTTTTGCATTGTGGAGGCCAGGTTTTGCTGCAGCGAAGAATGCTCACAGGCAACTTCGGCGGCCTGATCTGTGAGCTGCTCGTGGTTCGGGCCTTAACGTCCACAGATCGCTGATGTGTTTCAGGGAGCCTTTGTCCCCGGATTGTTGTAAGATCTCAGGCGAGTTCAAGGGTACAGTCAGGCGTTCAGAAGCGTACATCATGCAAACCCCAAATCTGTTGAAGCCTTAAGCCCAAACCGTCAAAAGAGTGCAGACTCGCGAAGCATTGGAGGTGGAAGCCATCCGGGAGTACTTGCAGTTCCATGGCCTCCAGGCCGGAGATGTTCTATCCTCATTATGATGATCATTTTTCTTATGATATTGTCATTGCTACTCGTACTATTGTTACTATTGAGAAGCATGCGGGGTTTCCGCATTTAGGATGTAGGGGGTGCGGCGCGTTCGATCACCGAACGAGCTGTTCCTCGATACATCTACAGCACAACGAGCCCGAAGAAGCTTTCTGTTGAAGGTTTTTTGTGTTTGTTCGAGATGAGGGCATCTGGCAGCCGTTTAGGGTCCGGCCTTTCGCGGAACCCCTGCCCGGCCACTTTGGCGGAACCGCGACTGCCGAGCTGCTCTCATGTGTTCGGTCCAAGGACACGCTGGATGCCATGGACCGCTGTCTGGGCTCCTTGGAGATATTGGCCTGCCTGACCGCGTTTGTATTTATGTTCTTAGTTGTTCTGCTCATGTAAACTATGGTACTGCGGCTACTAGCGCTGCAGCTGCCGATGCTGCTTTTGCTCTTGCTGCATTGCTGCTATTGCTGCTGCTACTACTGCCAGCTGGAAAAGGCAGTGCAGTCACCTCCAAAATCCCCAAACTCCAAAATCCCCAAACTCCAAAATCCCCAAACTCCAAAATCCCCAAACTCCAAGAACCCCGAAGTTTCCGAGCCCCACACCGCCCCGGTTGTAGTCTTGCCGAGTGCAGCAAGGCAAAGCCAGGCTCCCTGGGATGGTACAGGTGCCTCCGCCTGGATTCCATGTTTTCGGCTTCAGGGGTTTAGGGTGTTGCAGCGGTTTGGGAGCGGGGTTTTGAGTCAGTGCTTGCAGCTAATGCTGTGTTTTCTAATTTTTTACAAGTTTCAAAATGCGGTGAAGGGGTGCGGAAATTGCTTCTGAACCCTCAACAGGCAATACCAGACTTTGATCCCTGGTCCTAGTTGTAAATAACTAACCCGTGCAGCAACACTCACTGTAATCCTTGGTAGTAGCTCTTATGACAACCTATGGAAACCGTCTTCGTCACCCGATGGAACCCTCTATAAAAATGCTACAACTACTCTCAAAGCAAAGAAATTCAGTAGGCACCCTAAACCCTAAGCCCTAAAACCCTAAACCCTAAACCCTAAAACCCTAAACCCTAAACCCTAAAACCCTAAACCCTAAACCCTCAAGAAAGTGATAAATAGAAATTGCTTTTCCTTGTTTGTAATCACCGCTACGGCCCAATATACCGATCAAACACTGAACAAGCTTCTTGATAAACCAATTTCCCTACAAACTTGTAACCGCCGCTACGGCTTGTCCTTGTTTGTAATCACCGCAACAGCCCAACATACCGATTAAAAATTGAACAAGCTTCTTGATAAACCAATTTCTCTACAAACTTGTAACCGCTGCTACGGCCCGGCCAACATTGAGCTAGAGCGAAAACCCAGCCCCAGCCCAGCCCCAACCCCAGCCCAGCCCCAGCCCCAGCCCCAGCCCCAGAGCCGCAGCCCCAGCCCCAGCCCCAGCCCCAGCAAGGTGCAGCCCAGCTCCGGCCCGAAATCCAAAATGTGGTTTCAAAAAAGGAAACCTGCCCAAAACGTTTCGCTCAAAACTTTCGCTCAAAACGTTTCGTTCAAAACTTTCCCCCAGAGCCCCCCAGAACCAGGACAGAGAAACGGCCCCAGCCCGGTCCAAAATTCAAAGCGTGCTTCACAAAGCCCGCTAGAACCCCGCCACAGCCCCCAGAGCCCCCCCCCAAGATCCCCAACAACCACAGCCCCCCCAGCCCCACCCCCCAGCCACAGCCCAGCCCCAGAGCTCCAGCCCCCCCCAGGCAAATTTCAAAACATGGTTCGCAAAAAAAAACTTTCGGTCAAAACGTTTCGGTCAAAACGTTTTTGGGACCCAAACCCTTAACAATTTCTATAGCTTCTTGATAAACCAATGCCAACATTGAGCTAACCAGCCCCAGCCCCAGCCCCAGCCCCAGCCCCAGAGCCGCAGCCCCAGCCCCAGCCCCAGCCCCAGCAAGGTGCAGCCCAGCTCCGGCCCAAAATCCAAAATGTGGTTTCAAAAGAGGAAACCTGCCCAGAACGTTTCGCTCAAAACTTTCGCTCAAAACGTTTCGTTCAAAACTTTCCCCCAGAGCCCCCCAGAACCAGGACAGAGAAACGGCCCCAGCCCGGTCCAAAATTCAAAGCGTGCTTCACAAAGCCCGCTAGAACCCCGCCACAGCCCCCAGAGCCCCCCCCCAAGATCCCCAACAACCACAGCCCCCCCAGCCCCACCCCCCAGCCACAGAGCTCCACCCCCCCCCCCCCCCCCCCCCCCAGGCAAATTTCAAAGCATGGTTCGCAAAAAAAAAACTTTCGGCCAAACGTTTCGTTCAAAAAGTTTTTGGGACCCAAACCCTTAACAATTTCTATAAAACCCTAAACCCTAAACTACCGAGAGCGCCGCTGACCATTTGCATGGGTGCTCGAGGCTCCGACCGAGGCCCCCGGCCGAGCGTCTCGACAAGACGGTGAGGGAGGGTAAAGCCTCCCGGTATACGGGGACGGAAATGACTCGGCTACGCCTCACACAATACGGACGTCAGTCCGTTTTCCAAAATCCTGCTGGGACCTCCCAGGGCTTCTCAGGCGCTTCCCAGGGCCTCCTAGGGGCCCTCCGAGGGGCCTTCCCAGGGGCTTGCCACCGCAAAGGGCCTTTCAAGGGCCTCCTGCAAGAGGTTGCCCACCTTCCAGGTTCAGGAGCCGGCTTCCTTCCGGGCCTTTCAAGCCGCCAGGGCCTCTGCAGAAACCTCTTTAAAGGCTTCCCAAGCTTTGAAAGCTTTCTGAGCAGGCCAGCACCTTCAAGGCTCCTGCGAGCAGCCCTGACAGGCTGCGAGGTGCGAAGTGTTTGTTGGAAACCCTCTTCTCGTCGAGCGCCCGGCACAGGCCGCGAGGACCCACAACCCGACACCAATCCATTCCAGCTGTGGTTTGTGGTGAAATACGATGATGTGAAAACCGAGAAAGGAAGCAGAGAGCAAGAAAGCCCCCCTTGAGGGGTTTTTGGGGGGTGAACCCTAAACCCTAATTGAGAATAGTTGGGGTGGTTGGGGCGGGACTACATGCTGACGCAAGCGCGCGATTAGTGGGTGCGCCCCCTAGCTATTCCTAAAGTAAAAGGCGCACCCACCGCGCGCATACTGTTACACACCCTAAAACCCTAAACCCTAACCCTAAAACCCTAAACCCTAAACCAAAACCCCAAAACCCTAAACCCAAACCCCCTGTATTTCGAGGCTCCGACTGGACCACCAGAGGCCCAGGAGGGCGACGCAGCTGGCGCAGGCTCGCCTTTTTTGGGCTTCATCATTATAGTATAGTATTACTATAGTATAGTATAGTTATAGTATAGTATTACTATAGTATAGTATAATTATAGTATAGTATTACTATAGTATAGTATAATTATAGTATAGTACTGTTACAGGGTTTCCAAGGTTTTGTAAGGCTTTGCCGTGTTACTTTGGTTCAGAGGTCTTTTCGGGATTCTTGACTTCTGTTGTTTTGTTTCCTGGTGAGCTTCGAGTATGGGGCTTATGACATTTTTATCAATAGACGCTTTTGTTGGCAGAACTGAGAAGATCTCATCTAAGCCCTGTTATTCTTTCGCCTTCGATTATTCTCAAAGGGCCACTACCCTGAGCACATCCTTTGTCTTCCTTGATGATGAAGATGATCCTTTCTATCAGCGGTACCGATCATCATCATCATCATCATTCTAACTATTACCATCATCATCATCATCACCATCATCACCACCATCAGTTGGGACAGGCCACCGGTCCGTATTTTCCAGAGGGCCCGACTGGCAGGGGCGGATGCCGCGTCTGAGGCTTTGCTGGATGCCGGGGGCTCGGCCTCGGTCTGATGCAGGGTCCCTGATAGGGTTGTTTTAAAACGGGGGCCGTAGGGGACCTAGAAAGCAGACCTTAATTTAGAGAACTACTCATGTGTAGACGGATAGGTAGGTGGGTAGATAGACAAACAGCTCCATCGAGTGAGAAGTGGATGGATAGATGGATTGGTAGACAACTGTGGGGTTTCAGGTGGTGGGCTTGCTACAGGGTGCAGAGGGTTTAGGATTGAGGAGTGCGATGGAGGGTTCAGTAGGCGCCGAAGAGTGAGTTTGTGGTTCTCTGTGCACGAAACTGGAGGGGCACACCGAGCTGGCTGTCGTCAAGGCCTTGCTTGGGTGGGTTTTGTTCCGACAGCATGCTGCCACCACTGGAGCATACAGCTTCCATACATAGCCATATCCCTGCATGCATGCTATGTATCATCGTATATATATATATACACACACACATACATACATACATACGTACATACATACATACATACATACATACATACATAAGCATATTCATGCAAAGAAATAGATACATCTAATCTGTACGTCTATACGCATATGCATATATGGTCACGCGCTCCGCGGCCCCCCCCCCCCCCCCCCCCCCCCCAAAGGTCAATGGTCCGGATATAGGGTGGGACCCCCCTCCCCTGTGGTGTGGGGTGTGGGGTCCCTCTTCCCCCTGTGGGGTGGTTGTGGGGTTTTGGGGTTTAGGGGTTAGCCTAAGCTTTTGAATGTGGGGTTTACGGTTACAAGGTATGACGCTTCGAGTCGACAAGGGCTTAGGGAGGATTTGCGGTGTATGTTCTGCTTTAGGCTTAGAGCCTGCAGTTAGGTGGGGTTTAGGGTTGGGTGTAGGGTTTTAAGCACAAGTTAAGGTTACTCAAAACAGGGACAATCGCGGCGTGATAGGGTTTACGGCTTGCTTGCGAAGGGCTTGCGTATGAGCCCTGGCCACCAACACCACCCCACCATATAGTGGCAGCTCCAACCGCCCCGACCCCTTTCCGCACACGCCAGTCCCCCACCCCCCCCACCCCCTACCAGACCACACCATTGGGGGGGGGGGGGGGGCTGGGAACGCCAGACTGACCATTTTTTGCAAATGCACCTTTGTATGTATGCTCTCGGGTCCCGGGCCCCCCCCCCCCCCCATGGCCCCCCCCCCCCCCTCCCCCGCTGCTGCACGCCCACCCACCCTGCACCCCGGCCCACCCGCACTTTGCCCGCCCCTTGACCTTGTGCGCGGATCGGGAGTGTCGCACTATGCGCTGGTGCGGAAAGCGGCAATCGGCTCAGTAGTTTCCAGCATCTGACATGAATTCCAATGCTGAATTATGAGGGTTGTATGGCGATGGTGATGGTGGCAGATATTCTTTTGAAGGTATTAATGATGAAGATGACGACGACAAGGATGATGTTGAGCATGGTCTGATTGTCGACTCATGTCCCCCGCACAACATCTTGAGCAGTATCACCGGTGCCACAGCAAGAGGGAAGACAAGGAGTAACACATAAGAACGTCGCGGCAAAAAGAGTACCACCACAGGCCCCACACCACAGGGGGGGCGGGGGGGAAGGGGGGAGGATACCATGGGGTGGGGGGGGGAGGGGGGGTGTGGCAGCCCTGCATCATATATACATATATACATATGTACATGTACATATACATGCGTGCACGCACACACACACACACACACACACACACACACACACACACACACACACACACACACACACACACACACACACACACACACACACACACACAACACACAACACAACAACAACAACAACACACACACACACACACACACACACAACAACACACACACACACACACACACACACAACACACACACACAACACACACACACACACACACACACACACACACACACACACACACACACACACACACACACACACACACACACACACACACACACACACACACACACACACACACACACACACACACACACACACACACACACACACACACACACACACACACACACACACTTGACACATCGTGTCGCAGGTCTCGAATCACACTCTCAAAGTCAGAAGAGTCAGCTGTTTGAAGTTACTCAATCTTGTCATTTCGGCCAACTGTGAAACAACAGCATCTTTGGGGTATTTCGGGCGGCCGTTATGCAGGTACGTCACAGGAACGTCTTCCCGTGATATCACAAGCAAACTGGAGCGTCTTCGTTGGTGCAAGACTCCAGAATGCTTCTTGCACCCCCTGCATTACACACACTCGACCCTTTGGAACAGGGATGGACACACACAAGCCCGAATGGGCTCGTTATAGAAGCATTCACATCCCTTGCTCGTCACTTGCACATCCCTTGCACGTCCCTTGCACGTCACTTGCACGTCCCTTGCACATCCCTTGCTGCTTTTTTCACTGAAATTCATGGAAGAGTCTTATGCTCAAGACACCTAGGAGAGCGGGTTACGAAACCTCAGGAAGCGCAGTCTGTGCACTAAGTGCAATTCAACTTCTGCTTCTTCCGCATCGGCATGAAAGTACATGCAACATTGAGTTGCAGTTTTGTACGCAACGCTGGCCAGTGACACGATACTCACTCGCAAACGCTCCTGTACTAGACCTACGACAGCTCTCATCCACCTTTTTGACGGGCTGCTCAACATGGTGCATGCCACGACATTGATCTGTGCTAAACGGATGGTGGTATGCAGAGACTGAAAACCCATGGTCCACTTAGTCGAAGAGGACAGCCGGAACTCCTGTATCCCACGTCGCAAAAAAGTGTATGCCACCATGGTGTCAGTAATGGGTTGTGCCTCTTCAACGTCATCATCTGCATCGAGACGGGTAATGAATGTGATTCTGGTTCTGATCGGCAACACGTACATCAAGATGTTATCGAGCACATCGGAAGCAGTCCAATCCATGATGTTCAGGGTCTACACAATTTTCCAAGTGCTTGAAGCAAAACTGCACACTCTTTGCGTTGCACTTGCACAGACCTCGCACACCCTTGCATATCACTTGCAATTCACTTGCGCATCACTTGCATTCCGATTGCACATCCCTTGCACGTCACTGCTCTTGACTTGACAAAGAGGTGGGCTCTTTTTATACCGTAACGACGAAATCGACTGGTTCGAGGGTTTGAGCAGTCGTAACAGGTTCTGTAAATCGAAGGTGACGAAAGTTTTGTACAAGCTGGAAGGTGTGCAACCTAGGCCACCAGCCGAACTTCTCCCAAAGCTGCATCGCGACAAGGTATTTGGCACCGTTGATGGAATCGTTGATTGACAACTGGATGTGGAGAATAATAGTCTCGTGTCCGGTTGCCCGACTGCATACACGAACCCACATCCGAAAATTGTAGTCGCGGCTGGTACTCCAAGGCAAATTGGCTTCGCTAGCCTTGCGCTTCATGGTGGACAACCTACACGACTGCACTGGATGTCAAATGCTGCAACTCAAGACGACTCATGAAGAAACTCTTGCACATCCCTTGCACGTCACTTGCACGTCCCATGCAGAAACTCTTGCACATCCCTTGCACGTCACTTGCACGTCCCTTGCATATCCCTTGCAACACCCTTGCACTGACACTGGCTCACGAACGCTTGTTTGCAGCTGCTCTCGTTTCACTCTGAGACTTCAATTTCGTCAACTTCTTCTGCTGGAAGTGTTGGGGGCAACTCTGTTGTTTCTTGATGTTGAAGAGAATTAACGCAATGAGTAGTCACAGATTGAAGAGAATTCAAATCCGTCAGCAAGTTCCCCACCACTTCGTTGGTCTTCTGAAGTTTCTGAAACAGTTCTGTGGTGGCGGACATAACTTCCGCCACCTGAGCCTCAGTGTCCCTGATTTGTGTGGTGAGCACGTCGAGTTGAGCTTGTTGGATCTTCTGGACGGACAATGCTTCTTCACGAAAATGACGGAATTCACCTCTGATTGTGATCAGCTCCTGTTGTGTGTAGGAAATCCAGCGTTGAAGAGGTGCCAACGGATCGCACGCTGAGTTGCTCGACATTAGCGCAATGGAACAAGACTTGAGCAGGGTGCTGCAACACTATTCTGGTGTGTACCACAACACGAGAAAACAAGTACTCTCAGCACTGGCGTCTACGGCACAGTTTTTCTCACTTCAGCACTCGCATGCGTTACAGATACAAGTGAAATCCTGTCACATCAGTCATACTCAGCTAAGATCAGAAGACTGACTGCGTCGCCGTCGGCGTGAAACACGTCTTCTGGTAGGCATAGGTTTGGATCTAATCGGAGTACCTGATGCGGCTGAAGATGTAGGTGCGGCTGACGACGAAGCAGCATTGGACACCAAAGGAGATTCAGACACACGATGCGCCAAGCTTGCAAGTGGCACTGGGGGTGGAAAGACAGGAGCACTGGCACTGGGCGGGGGGAAGAAGGGAGGGGGAAGAGGGGGAGGGAGGGGAGGAGGGGGAAGAGGGGGAGGGCCAGGGGGAGGGAGGGAGGGAGGTGCAGAACTGGACGAAGGGTTGTCGCTGCCTGCACTCGGTGTACTCCTCGATATTGGCAGAGAGGATGGAGGTGCATAGGGGTGGGATCTGGACGAACGTGATCCTGAAGCTCCGCTACTGCTAGGGCGTTCTTCACGCAGGTTTGCTCTATCCCTCTCATCCAAGCGACGCAACTCTTGCTGCAGCATTCTTTCTGTCCCGTCACGCACAAAAGCTGTCAACTGAAGTACGAGAGCTTGACGAAGTTGTGGTCGTGATACAAAGTTGAGCAATCTCACACGCGCTGAATGGGTGAGCGCTCTCAGGAACTCATCAATGTTAGGATCCGAAGGTGGCACCGTCGGCATGCTTGCTTACTCAGATAATCTGGTTTCTTGGCCGAAAACACTGCGATGCACAGCACCAACACTTGCTTGCACGTCACTTGCACGTCACTTGCACATCCCTTGCACGTCCCTCGCACATCACTCGCACGTCCCTTGCACATCCCTTGCAATACCCTTGCAGTGACACTGGCACACGGACGCAACTGCTCACGTTTCACTCTGCTTGGACGAAGAACTCGTACTCCAGGACACGGGGGCACAACTCTTGCTCTAGTAGTTTTTCAGCAAGTGACATGTAATCCTGTACACTCCCGGTGACCAAATCAAAAAAGAATCAAACGTTTCGGTTGGGACACTGTGCAACATACCAAAAATGGCAAGCACAGCGGAGGTTAGCTCTAATCAGCATTTTTGCACAAGCTTTCGACCGTGCTGCAGGATTTCGGTGAAACTGCATCGGATCCCCAAGCGTAATATCACTTGCTTCAGAAGGAACAGGTGAGCGCTCAC